CAGTTTGGCTTTTTCTGTCCATTTCAGTGTCTCTCACTGTAGTCTATCTTGTTGCTCTCAGCAGCAGTATATTTCTCAATTAGTTTTGAAGCCTGATCCAAAGTCCATTCAATACCATTTAAATCCCTTGCATAATTTGCTGTACGTTTATGTTCCTGTTCCACAGCGACACATCCTCCACTGCTCAAAAATCATGAGTCTCTTGCTACAGTAATTATGATTACAGTGTAGGATATGGATTGTCTTACATGCACAGTATTTACATTTTCCAGATAGTCTCCAGGCTGGATCACTCATAAACCAGAGAGATAAGGGAGCAGGAGAGGAAACCGCAAGAGAAGGCAGAATTCAATTTTAAAGACAAAGATGTCTTTAAAAGTGATGTGAAAAGAGGGCGATTCACCCAAAATCCCACAGGAGCTGTAGAACAGAGCCAAAAAATGCATCTGTGACATCTGAGCTCCACTCAGGAACAAAGCCACGTAACCACAGCTTAATTTCTTTTAAAGCTTGTGTTAATGCCTGCCTTTTGCTTTCAACCATCCCTATAAAGTGTTTTGCAACATTCTGTTGGAAGGAGCTATATAAAGATAAATTGTGAGATGGTATTTAGTTGACACATAAACTACTCTTCTTTTGATCTTTCCAAGCTGGAATTACATTATTTGAGTTTCATGTTCAGTTTTTATATGTCAGCTGCAGACCAGATTTGTTGCTTTTGTAAGAAGGAGGCATTAGCAACCCTGAGAATTTCATTGCTTCTGATATAATTTTGCCAAATGTCCCACACCACCTGAATTCCTTGCATGGTACACTGGAGATCTGTAATATTTAACACAGAAGTCATTCTCCAATTTCTTGCATTTAGCACATGTGACAGAAAAAATGCACATTTTTAAGGCAAAGTTGCCAGAATTGATCTTCCCAGGAAAATATAAAAAATGCTTTTAATATCACTCTGAAGCTGAAAGATAAACAGGAACAGCTGCTAAATGTCCTTCAAGGCAGCCCAAGATTCATTTCAATTACCCTGCACAGCATACCTCAGGTGCAGCACAGCATTTTCAGGTTTTATGTCTATCAAATATAAGCCTAACACTGTGTTATTTCCTCCCACTTGTTATATCTGACTTTTTGGGGGTTTTTTAATGCCTTTTCTCCTTTTCTTTGTTTTAACTGCTATGCTACTGCTTTAGAGGAAGCGCATTATATGTCTGCTTCAGCTCTCATTGCCTCAGTTAAAGTAATATATATATATTATATTATACCTGTATATATATACACACATAGATATTTTATATATTATATTATGCCTGTATATATATTTTTTTCTACTTTCTAGTCTCTTAAATTTGTTCAGAGGTTGACATTTGAGTCAGACTGCTATGCTGCCCACTTTACAAAGGCTAAGAAGGCTTGATTAATCACTGTACTAACTTGTCTAGCCTTTGAAATGATACCTTCATTTAAAAAACAAATACTAAGCATAGGTCTGTATTTTCATTGGTGCAGTGGACTGTTTGAAGATAGCCACAGAGAGGAGATTCCCACTAAAAAAGGTACAAATGATGTAACATACAAATGAAGCATTGTTAGGAAGGTGAACAACATTATTTTAGCACTATAATTTTTATTATATTTTACTGTGTTTATGCACATGTTTTCAGGTGAATTCCAGTGAGATGAAACAGGTAAAGATTTCAAGATTTATTTAAGAGGCGCATTTTACAAAATAGGGGTTTTTTTAAGCAAATGATCTTCATGTCCACATGCCCTAACTACATGCAAGATTGCTCTGGATAGCAATGAGCTATTTTGGCATGGAGGCAGAACATTCATTTGGGTCTCCATTCCCACCAGTAAATCTCCTTCCTGAGGACTGTGCTCACTAGGAGACCAGATGACATGTCCTCAACACAGAAATAGGTACTGAAATACTCCTAATTTCATCAGTGTACAGACTTCCATTTGGTAGAGTGATACCCAGGACAGCTGTCTTTGCTATGCCATACTACTAACATGCAAAATTTGTCTTCTCTGCTGAGATGCTACCACGTACCAGAAGCACCTACCCAGAGCTACTATGTTAATTCTGTGGTGGGAAGTAGTAAGCAGCAGTTTCTACCTGACTGCACGAGTGTCCATGGAACTTAAGGACAAAGCCTCACTTTTTCTGGTTTCAAACCTTCCTTGAGCATTTACACTAGTGCATTTAGGTTTGTTAGAAATGCTTGGCATTTCTTTACCAGGTCTCAGCTGGATGCCATGGCTAACAGCTAAGGGCTAATACGCAAATGAGCAGTAAGAAGCAGCTACCTAAATCACCTTGCAATTCAAGTCTTCACTCTAACCCGTTTTTCTCCATTCACAGTATGAACAGCACAGTCAGTCTGAGGGGCTGAATTTCAGGACCATGCATATTATACCCACTGTAACACAAACAGACAAGCACAGTGAAAGAGGCCACAATCTTGCCCATTTTCACTATTGTTTTAAATGAATGGAATTAATAATTTTGTTCTCCTGTGATTTAAAAAGCCAGTAGCTACAGCCAGCTGGTGGACAGGACAAAAGAGATGGAATATGAAATGTAAAAAAAGTGCAGAGATGCACATTTTTCTCTGCAGGCTTCATGCAGAATGTCAAGTATATGTGACCGCATCATGTTTCCCAATACCTTTTTTTAAGGGTCTGGTTACTATTGTTTTAATTCAGAGCATGTTAATTTATGGTTTGATTCTTTTCTGTATGAAACATGTCGGTGAAACTTTCAGTTGCTTTCAGTTGCTCCTGTTCTGCTCTGCTTTAGTCTCAGTCACAAACTTATTTCATGTCGTTTTGCTCCAGAGTGCATCAAATACAGCTAAAATTCCCTCATATATGTAGTGCATGGACCTAAATTCTCATCCAAAGTCATAGAGATGTTTAGTGAAGCATCTTTATGTATGTCCACATGAAGAGACACAGAAAGGAAAAGCCCTCTCTCAGCTTTGGTGCGATTGTTGTTTTAATTGGGTGGGAAGGGGTTGGGATTTTATTTTTTTGTTTTCAGTTGAAAGGCTGAAAACTGAGACCAAGTGTCCCTCACATGGAATAACAGTCATTCTGTTCTAAATTTGTGAGGGGAAAAAAAAAAATTAGTTTTCCAGGATTAGGAAATAATTTTTATAATACTGATGTTTTCATTCTGAATTAATTTCAAATTTTTGTTGTGTGGTTTTAGGATAAAAGGTGCTGCTTGGGGGGTTATTGTTTTACATTTCCCTGATTTGCAAAGTCAAATTGCTTTTCTTTATAAAGTTATAAATGTTGTCAGAATGCTACATAAGTCATCTAATAGCTATGTTAGAACTCTGCATTGCTGTAGGATAGAAAATCGTGTCCATTGGTTGTCATGATCAGTTATTCTGACATGGCAGACAACCTTGCTCTCACATACACTTGAAAATGCCTAGTCAGCCTAGGTGAAGAACTGTGAAAAATTCATTACTTGCTGCCCATCAGGATGCAGCTTGATTTTTAGGGCTGCAAAGTACTTGCTTACAGCTCCCACCAGTTTTGACTGAGCTTTGGTTGCTCAGACCTGAAGCATCAAACTTGTGTACTCCAGATTTTTCTGTCTCTTTCACTTTTAAAGTGTTAATGATGAAACATAGTAGCATGTTCTTTCTCTGCCTGCATAAATTAGATCAGAAGGAAATTGATTTTTGTTCCATTTTCTTTACAAAATGAAAAGCATCTTTAAATAATGAAGAGCATTTGAGCTCTGTATTCACTACTCAAAATGTAAACCATGTGTTTTGGAAAAAAATATTACATCTGATTGATGGTTTACTTTAATCACATAGTCTTCTTTTAAAATTTTGATCTTGTAGGTTTTGAACAACAGATACAGTAACGTCTTGATTGTATTGGAGGAGGACCACTGGTAGATACTGGACTGGGTTGGAAGTAGATGATCTTTAAAGACCATTCCAACCCAACCCAACCCATTCTATTCTAATCCAAATATGTTTTATAATTTTATTTTGAACATACACTGCTTTTGTACAGTGAGATTCAGGTTAGGAGAATCTACCATGTTACCACATCCCACCTACCAGCATGCCAAGAAGGCAACCATGTTGGAGGGGTCAGTACAGAATGATGTGTCATTTTCACATACACATTACTTAAAATGCTTTTTTTTGCCTCATTCTTTCACTTACTTTCTGTCTCCTTTTCAGGTGTGGATGTGTGGAGGTGGCATGTATGATGTCCCATGCTCTCGAGTTGGACATATCTACAGGAAGTATGTCCCATATAAAGTCCCTTCTGGAACCAGCCTAGCACGGGTGAGTAATTGGGTGTTGCTGGTTTTCATTTTCATTCATCATCAGTCCCTTCATTTCCTGTGAACCGGTTTCCAGTAAACCATTACAATGGAAAATGAACGTTTCTTTATTTTTCTGCAATGAGATGTGCAATTACTGCAGTTTTCTGCCTTTCAGAGATAAAATTGCCAGGAATAAAATGGAAGCTTAAAATTATAGGGTTGGACGTCTCAGCACAGAAGGACGTTTCATGCTGATTCAAAAGAACCTAGGAATAACCTAAGGCTTGCAATTCTCAGACTACACAGTGTTGTCAGTCATAGTTTTTTTAGGCAGGACCAATGCGAATGCACATTTTCTTATCAGTCAGCAGAACAGGCTGAATCTCATGGAAGGGATGTTTTCTGAGGCAAAAGGACTGAGTAACAATGATTTGAGTGACTGTCTGATTATTGTGTAAAACCTGATTGTGGAATACAGCCAGCTTGAAGCTGTGAGAGTGAGAAATTACAAGACCTCTAGACATTTCTCAAAGACTGCTGAACACATCCATATCCATGAGGGGCTTTTTGCTCAAGAGAAAGTGTTCTATAACTTTCTGGAGATGTTCACAGGATGTCAAAAGATGGAAGATGAAGGGCACAGATGTAGCTTCCAGGCAGATACTGGTATTTATTCATGCTTGAGTTTAATCTTTTCTGTTTTAGAGGAATTTTTTTTTTAATAAAATGACATTAATATTAAAGTCTGCATATTGCCATAGGGTAATATTTTATGAATCATATTTTTTCTTAATAATGAAAATGTGGTATGAATAAAAGAATGAATTTCTTGCTTTAAGGGGAAGGTATATCCATGGTTTCAGCACCACAGGACAAGGCTTGCTGTACTAACTGCAGCAGCAAAAGGAGGCCACCTGTGCTGCCTGCCCGACAGCTGGCTAGACAGAAAGACCTTAAAAGAGCATCACATAGTTCAGTAATGGGATTAGTGGTGGGGACAAAAACTAAATTTTGAGATTAATATCTTCCCTCAGTATAGCTCTGTGTGCTATCCGAGTTGCACCATCCAGATTTTTGGACTGCCTGAATTAAACTGCTCTATTTATGGTATCCCCTGCAAAAATCACACACAACTCAAAGTAAGAAATTCAAACCTCATTCTCTGTTTTTTTTTTTATTACAGCACATAGTATCTTATTAGAGAATATGCTGTCTCGTGCATTACCTGTAGGTGCAAAATGCTATCATTTCTATTTGGACTGTTAGCATCTTGTGCGGTTCAGCATTTAACTGGCTTTCATTGTGGCACTGTGAGTGCTTAGAACCATTGGGTAGCCACAGCCTGCAGCAGTACTATTTATTTTAGCTTGATTTCAATAAATGACTCATGAAGTATTACCGAAAAACATTCCCAGTTATAAAAATTATATCTCTGCCCATGCCCAAACCACCCTATATCCTGTGGGGAAAGATCTAGTGGTGGGTCTTATCCTTCCCATTCAAATAATGGGTAGTTTTTTCTGTGTTGTGGCAGTCTAAAACATGACACTTCGGTAATTTTTATAAATTTATCACTAAAAGAAACTCTGAATTCTCAGATCCACAGCTTCTTTCCAGTACAATATTCTTCACATTATATTGAGGCTGCCTAGGGCACAAGAGCATCTGTATGTTTTCGTGTTTGGGGCTATCTCAATAAGAAGCCAAGGTAGAGAGTTTTGTCCCTGACCCATCCAATTGTGTGTAGTTTTAAGCCTAAAAATATTCTCTTCCTCATCCAAGCCAGAAAAGAAAATCAAGGACAGATTAATCTTCGGTGTGTCAAATACCACTTGTGTTTTAAATAAAATGCCCCAAATGGAGCTGTTAGCCAAAATAATACTAGGGAAATATGCACAGGAGTGGCCTGGATATTTCAGCTGTCTACACCTTATGAGTATTTTATCTAAAACTTACCTCTAGTTCAAATATACAATGAATAACACACCCAAGAATATCTGGAAGTATTATCCCCACTGCCAAAAGCAGTACTTTTCACCACTAAATAGTCTCCACAAAGGTTTTTACTTATCCTTTTCCATCTTCTACTGTTTAAAGAAGCATGCAGGAGATGCAGTTCACAAAGGAGTGAGCCCTAGAAAGCCAAACTGTGATTGTATAAATGATTGCAAATGCCCTTCTTTAATCAAGGGACAATTTCCCCTTGTGCAGGTTCTGCATTTAAGATTGACAGATTTTTCCCGTCCTATCCTACAGCATCAGCACAAGGGATATGGGGACTGGAATTAGGAAGAGAGCAGAGCTTCTGCACAAATTCAGGCATAGCCCAAATCATGCCATGGTTTTCCTTTCAAGCTGTTTCAGCTTATGTTTGCCCTTTAACAAATAATCCTAAAAGTGAGCATTTTACCTTCCCTTGGGATTTCACCTGTCTTTATCTTTTAGCAGCAACTTTCAACACACAGTTTCAGCCAGCTATGTAACACTTGACTAACCTAGATATCTTTTTAGTGAGCTGTGACCTGGCATGAGGATCACATACGCTTTAGGAAATGAGAGACCCGTTAAAAACTTTGTTCTGCCTCCCCATCACTAAATAGCCATTAGTGTACCACACACTATGTATCATGACATTGGTTTTCTATGTCCTTCTTATCTATTGTTCAAGGTCTGCAAAGCTTATGCATATTTGTTGCTGCCACGCCCCTCATAAATTGAAAAGCAGTATGAAACAGTAATGTTGTTTGGTGGTGCAGAGCAAAAGTAAAGCAAGCTGTAAACATGCATAGCAGATTTATAAAACAGATTCCAACAATCAAATGCAGAAAAAAAGATGAATATTTTTGTCTGGAGGTGTCTTAGGATGTTGCTGCTTGCCAAAAGCAGTCAGTGTTCAATTTACATGAAATTGCAAATAAAAAAATATAAATAGACGCACAGATGTCAGCACCAATTCCACTTTATAACCTGGAAACACCAAATGATTATTCATTCATTCCAAACCTCCGCACAAAACTGGAGTGACTAATAACTAATTTTGCGTGTTTGTTTTAGGAAAGGCATGTTTAGAAAGCAGATTCCCGAAGTCTCAAAGTCATATGCAAGTCCTAAAAACTTCTGAATTGTTGTACTGGATTATTTCAGTTGCTTTGTGGTATTTCTAATTATTGCTTCCTTTTTAACAATTCTAACTAAGCCATTTTCTCTTAGCTAATTACCTGAGAAATTAGACTTTGGAATATTATTTGAATTTTCTTTTAGGTGTACCTCAGTTTATTATTTATTTTCTTTAGTTTCCTATTTGCTTTTTGGTTGTTTCTTTTTCTACTTGTGATTCTATAAAAGCCATAAGAAATACATCAATAAAATCTCACTCTTCTGTAGGATATGCAGAGATGAACTCAGTTTCAAAATATATCCACAGAATTTTGTTTACAGATTTTTTGCACAGCATTTTAGCATTAATTACAAAATATTAGTACATTAGGCCTTTCTGAGGGGAAAGGCAATCCCACTGAAATTCAAGCTGGATGCTAACCCAGCAACCTAGTGAATCCTAACCTTAACTTGAATTCATCCTTGTATGCCAGGATGTGGGATCCCAGAACACAGTGGTCCTCTGACTTAGCAGGCACAAGCGCAATGACATTTCTGTCATTACACGGTTTCGTTGAATTGGAACTTGCGCGAGTTTGTGTTCAGGAATTCAGCTGATAAAGGTGGGTTTAGACTCCTACCTGAACCATTTGTTCAGCCTTTTTGTGTGGATTCAAAAGGGATCTTCAAAGAAAATTACTGGTGCTCTGACCATGTTTGCATTTTTGACAGAGCTTCCTTTTATACTGTGACTAGTTTGGTCTGAATTTTTCCAGCTGCAAACAGTATTTGGGAGCTTCTTAGAGTGGTCCATGGACTTTTTATATTCAGTTAGCAGGCAGGTTAAAGAATCAAGGAGAATCAGTTAGGAAACGGCTATGTTTTGTCGTGAGCAGGGTGCAAATGGATAGGTGTGGCATGCTGTTCAGAGAGCACTGCTGGCACTTTAGAAATCACCTCTGTAGCACAAGGGACTGTAACAAAAAGTCAGTTATGATTCAGTAGGCACAGTAAGCAGCTGCAGCGTCAGCTTGGGACAAGCAAATTATTTAGGAATCAAGCAAGAATCAGATTCTTGCAACAGCACAGCTATAATATGTGATAACTGTGATTCACAGTACAGCTTTTAAGTTTCCACTCTAATTTTTTTCATTTTATTTATACATTCATCATCAAAATTAGTTAAACCAAGTTCTCAAGTGAAGAACTTACCAAAGAAAATATTTAAATTAATATCCTTGAGTCCAGCAAGTTTCAACACTGTCTCTCACAATATTCTCACAGGCAAACTCAGGAAGTGTGTACTGGATGAGTGCACAGTGAGGTGGATGGAGGGCTGGCTGAATGGCAGATCCTACAGGGTTGTAATCAGTGACACAGGCTCTACTTGGAGGCCTGTCACTAGTGGTGTCCCTCAAGTTTCAGTACATAGGCCCGGTATTGTTTAACTTATTCATCAGTGACTTGGATGAAGGGACAGATGCATCCTCAGCAATTTCACTGACTACACAAAGCTGAGCGGAGAGGTCAGTACCCCAGAGGGCTGTGCAGCCCTTCAGAGGGACCTTAACAAGTTGCAGAGATGGACAGTGAACTGTCTGAAATTCAACAAAGGCAAAGGAGGGGGTCCTGCACCTTGGGAGGAATAATGCCAGGCACCAGTATAGGCTGGGGGCTGATCTGCTGGAGAGCAGCACTGTGGAGAAAAACTTTGGGGTCCTGGTGGACAGCAAGCTGTCCATGAACCAGGAGTGTGCCCTTGTGGCCAAGAAGGCCAGTGGTATCCTGGGGTCCATTTGGAAGAGCATTGCCAGCAGGTCGAGGAAGGTGATCCTACCCCTCTACTCAGGGCTGGAGAGGCCACATCTGGAGTGTTTTGTCCAGGTCTGGGCTCATCAGTGTAAGAGAGACATGGAACTCCTG